TGATTAAACTCGATGAGGAGAGTTGAGAGCGATAATTACAATTTGCATATGAAAAGAGCATTTGTTCTGTGCCTCTGCTCCCCACAAAGAGTTCCACTGCAGCTCCCCATGAGTCAGGTAGGAATTCCCCTGGACCCTCTGCAACTGGAAGACTTGAGACTCCCCCTGAATGTTCAAACCAGCCTTTTGTGGTGGTTGGTATTCCCAAATTCGGCAGCCTGTATCCTGGGAAGAATGAAGGTGAAAAGAGGAATGTGCTTTATCCCGGGCACGGTGCCATCCTGGATAACCCGGTGACTCAGGAGTGATTCAGCCCAGTGGATCTGCAGGGACTGGGATCAGCCTGACAGGCTTTGGCACAGCTGATCCAGAGGCAGCCATGAGTTATTCCTGCAGGGATTCCTGGGCAGTCAGGTTTGCATCCCATCCTGCTGTAGCTGATATTGAAGAATCACAGCTGGATACTCCAACCAGAGTCATAATCCTTGCACCTGAAACCCTTGGTGTGATTAGAGAACTTTTCCCTGGGTTGCTTTGTCCCAGATGGAGATATTTTCCTTGTGACAGTCTCCCAAGTTCACTTTTGCCCACAGTGTCCTTTTTTACAGGCAGAGAGGAGGGAATTTGCCATTCTATGTGAAATGGGGCGAAAGCAAGAACTTCTCTTGCCTCCCACTGCTTCAGCAAAACAAAGTTTGTGTTGGCCACAGGGATTGGGAGGTTGAGGAATGCTGAGAAAATCACGTGCAGCTAAAAGTTGGAAGTGAGAAAGGGTTGTGGTTTCCTCAGGATTTGTTTTGCAAAATTGATATTTTCGTGAAAAGTTCCACTTGTGTGTCAGCTTCTCAAAGGAAATTATTGCACCAACTGGGACAGAAATATCTTGCATCTTTCGTGTATTTATATAATTCTGTGTTTTTATTTAGGAACAAGCCTTTGATCCATATGAAACCTTGTCCCAGGATATTCTCTCTCCACAATTTCATGAGCATTTTAATAACCTAATGGCAAAACCTGCTGTTGCTCTCCACTTCCAGGTGAGTGCAAATGGGGAACACTGAAAGGCTTTAATTCTCATATTTCAAAGGTTTGAATTCTGTCAGTAATTCTTTTCTTCCAACTGAGGAAGAAATCCTCGAGGTTCTGCCCTTTCTTCAGTGTAAGATATTTGGATTTTGCCTCTTGCTGTAAAATCTGGGCACAGCTCTGACCCATCCATGAATCTTCTTTAGTTCTTTTTGTCCTCATATCAGACACTTGCATGAGGACAGAGGGTGAGTTCTCACACTGCCATTTCCATCTTGCCTTTTAAAACCAAACACAGGCACCCAAACACCATGTTTTCATTTCCTTCCAGACATATCCAAGGCCTCCTTCAGCACTGAGGCTGCAATTGATGGTTTTTCTTGAATAATTCTTCAATAATTTCTTAGTCATTGCTGCCCAGCAAGATCATCTGTGAGTTTTCTATTGTTTTATTAGTTCTGTCCACCAGTGTGGCTGATTTATTAAAAGCTGCATAAGAGAAGGTGCTGAGCAAGTGGTGAGTCAGTTCTGCTCCCAGTTAAACCCAGTTTAGTGGTGCTGAGTTTGTAGGGTTCACTGGGGCACCTCTGCAAGCTGAGATTCCTCTCAGCTGTTCCTGCAGGTGAGTGTTTCCTCCTCACCTCCAAGACCTTGGAAAGCTGGATCATCTTACTCTTAAATACTTCTCAGTGTTGAAATAAGGCTCTCTACCTCCCTCCCTACCAAATTTAAAGCTTAAAGCTCCATTCCAGATTAAATTGCTAATTGAGTCATTTTTCAGTGAATCTGGCCTCCTGCCTGACTCTCATCACTAATTTCTCATCCTGATGTCATCATATATTAAGGAGAAATTCCTCCCTGGGAGGGTGGGGAGGCCCTGGCACAGGTTGCCCAGAGAAGCTGTGGCTGCCCCTGGATCCCTGGAAGTGTCCCAAGGCCAGGTTGAACAGGGCTTGGAGCAACCTGGGCTAGTGGAAGGTGTCCCTGCCCATGGCAAGGGGTGGAATGAGATGAGATTTAAGGTCCCTTCCAACCCAAACCATTCCATGGTTCTGTGATCACCATAGAAAGGCTTTCTTAGGAATGTTCCCTCACAGTTCTTCTCTGAGCTGTGAAGTGAAGGCAGAAAGGTAATTTTTAAAATGGATGTGAGGTAATTCAGTTTCTGGTCAACATTTATCCTGATGTGGGAGATGGCAGGAATTTCATCGTCCTTTGGAAAAATCTCATCTTACAACCTGAGTTATTGTCTTAGTTAAGTGCTGGGAAGGGGAAAAGATTTATCATTTTTTAAGTAATAAACTTGTGATTCTCAGTTTCTCAGGGTGATATTAATACTAATTTCTTCAGTGCTTGATGAGAGCTCCATATTTTGGTGCTGTGTTGGATGTAATGGAAGCACAGCAAACATACCTGGGGAGAAAAGGGAATTTGGGGGAGTTGTGACAAGTTTATTTGATTGTGTGGAAGCCCTGACTTCTCTTTAACCAGGGCCAGACCTATCCAGTCCTGATTTAAGTATTTCAGTGTAAATAATCCTGTTTGTTCTTCCTTTTCAGTCCACTGCTGAGGGGTTTAAAGAAGCTGTACAATACGTCCTCCCCCGCCTGCTGCTCATCCCAGTCTATCACTGTTTGCACTACTTTGAGTTACTACAGGTAAACAAAGCCACACTCTCATTTCTCACTAAAACCAGTTATTAATGTGGAGAATCTGAGCTTTTAAATAGGTGTTAAGATGTTGCTTACTTCTTCAAATGGAAAGAGATAAAAACATAAATTTGACGCTGGTCACTAAATGTCTGAAAAGTAAAAACATGTAAAGAAATCTTCAGAAGCATCTGTTGCTCTGCTATGAGCATTTGAACTATAATTTATTAAACAAACCTTGAGTTCTAATATAGTTAAAAATTGAATATAAAAATCTAATTTCTTCTTTCCTTGAGTGCTAAATTTTTGTCCATTCACAAGCAGCTAAACAGAACCCAGATCAAATTCTCAGTCTCAAGTCACACTCCAGTTGCAGCTCAACTTATTATTTCAGAATAATCCATTCTTAATGTTCAACCATTTGTCCTGAGTCCTAAATGGAAGTAGCTGAGGATAATGTACAAAAGTTTCTGTTTGCCCCATTGTGTTGGGAAAGAAAGTTTGTAATGCTTTAGGGGTAAGTGAATTATTAACCAACTGGGATGGACTTAAGTAGGTAAAACACCCTGTGGCTGCAGCTGACATTTGGAAATAGCAACAGAAATTACTCTTTTAGGTTCTCAGTGTAAAAAAGTGGCACTGGCCATGTTGTACAGGTGTGTTATATGGATTTCCTTTGGATTTCAAAGGATTTACTGCTGTGAAGGAGGAAAGGGAAACTTTGCCACATAGACTATAATCTATAGTAACAAATCTAGCAATTATGTTAATACCATATCTATTCAGCACAAGTTCCTTTTTTTTGGAAGTTCACTCTTGTTTTCAGTATGTCTGCTGTGATTTTTTTTGCATGTGCTGATTTAGATAAGGAAAAGTAAGGGATGATTTATTTTGTCCCATGAATCACACACCTGCAGTGTGCAGATGACCAGTATTTTGTGGAAAGATTTAAATCCCAGAAGGGTTTGGGTTGGAAGGGACCTTAAAGACCATCTTGTTCCATGGGCAGGGACACCTTGCAATACACTTAAATGCACGTGGTCTCAGTAAATTTTAAATCTTTAAGCATTTCTGTTGATAGTCATTTTAGGAAGTAGTTGACAAAGCTTAAAAATACCCCAAAACCAACCTTAATTCTCTCCCAGCTCCCTGACAGGAGGGTGGAGCCAGATGGGGGTCGGGCTCTGCTCCCAGGGAACAAGGGAAAGGACAAGAGTTGCCTCAAAGCAACTTGAGAGGCCTCAGGGGTCACCAGGGGAGGTTTAGCTTGGATATTATAGAAAATTCCTTCCTGGAAAGGGCTGTCCAGCCCTGGCACAGCTGCCCAGGGCAGGGGTGGAGTCCCCATCCCTGGGGGGATTTAAAATCCCTGTGGATGTGGCACTTGGGGACACGGGGCAGCCTTGGCAGTGCTGGGGAACAGTTGGACTCCATCATCTTGGAGGGCTTTTCCAACCTCAGCAATTCCATGATTCCACAGTTTTGCCAGCCTTATGTGAAGGGAGCACTGTTGGTTTGTAGATAAAGTCTCTCTTTCAGAATAGTGGAACTTCCCTTCCCGTAACCACGATAATTCCCTGGAACTTCCCAAAATGTTCCTCTTTCACGCCGAATAATTGGATCAGTGACCTGCATTATGCTGAAGGTCAGGCTAATTAATGACCCATTGTGTCTTAGAGCTGGGAAAGTGCATCAGGATGAAATTTAGGAATGAAATCATGTGCTGCAGCTTTGGGGAGAATCTGAGCCTTCAACTGGATTTACAAGTGTAAAGTGTGTGGTGTTTGTCCTCGTTTGGAGCGGAGTTTTCCTCCTGTTTTTGGTGAATAAAGCCTGGCAGACAGTGCAAAATCATTTTGTTGTGCTTTTTATTCATTTTAAAGGATAATACAGCAGGAGGGTGCATGAAAGATGATAATTTTAGCAGTGAAAATTATTAAATTTGATCTTTACCCACAGTACACAAGATTTCTGAGTGGGATCTGACACTTGGCTGTCTTGAGCCTTTCCAACCTTGTGAGCAGAGAACAAAAATCTGAAATATCACTCTGTATCAATGCTAAATCCAGAGTTTTTTGTTATGATCCCTTTAGTTACAGGTTTAAAATTTGAGTTTTATGTTGTACTTTGAAAACATCTTAAATTGACAGCAGAGATTTTTAAAACACAGCGTGTTTTTAGGCACAGAGAAAGTATTTATTCAACAATATTAATATATAACATATTGAAAACCTTTGGTATTGCTACTCTGTCACCATTGTGTTTGTCTCTAGGAACTATGATTGAAAAAGTTCAAAATGGAAGCAAAAAAGCAACAAAATACTCATATTTTCATGGTTTCTGTAGGGAGAGAAGCTCAGACTGAGACTTTTACTTCTACATAAAATTACCAAAAAACCCCTTCTGAACTGGGAGATAAATAAAATAATGATTTACCAAAGCACAGGCCTCAAATATTTGCTTTTTTGTTAAATATCAAAACTAAAATTAATGCAATTAAAGTGTGAAAAGCTTGAAAATTCCTTCCAGCTGTAGAACTTTTCCTCCTCGGTGCAAAAACATGCAGGATCTTCATCAGGGCCTTGTCTCTGCGTAAGAAAGAGGATAAAGGTCCTGAATGGAATAGAGAGTTTATCCTTCCTCTTCATGTGACTCCCAGGCACAAGATTATCCCGAATTCCTGGTTGTGTTGTTATCAAACAACCCAAAACATGAAATTATCAGACTCAGGAGCTTTTCCCACCTTTAGGATTTTGCACTTCACACCTTTTTTACGTTCTTTGCATTTCTGTGGCTGACAGTAAGGAAAAGTAGGATTTCCACAGATTTTTTTCCCTTCCCTGTACTGTCCCTCAGCTCACAAAATTCCCAGAAATTTTAGACCATGAGACATTGATTTGTTTAATGTGCAAGATGGAGGTCGTTTGGGCATGTGAAAACTAAAAAGTTTAGTAATTGAAATGACATGGAGTGGACCAAGCTGGTCAAATCCTGTTCTCTCCATTACTTTTAGAGGAAGCTGAGGGATCCTTGCTGAGGGAACGTAGTGGGGAAAGGAAAAGAAGGCTCTGCCATGCTGAGTGAGTGTAAGTAAGATTTCTCTTAAGTATGTAGGTAAAACAGAGTCTATCCAGAATTTATCCAAGTTGTCATGATTTTTCCCAGAAATTTGTTAGCTTGAATTTTCCTTCAAACAACTCACAGAATCCCACAATGACTTGGGTTGGAAGGGACCTTTAAGCTCATCCCATTCCACACCCTGCCATGGAGGGGCTCATACAATCTTGAGGGTGAAAGAGGCTAAAAAAGAAAAAAAATCTTTTATTTTTATCAGTAGTATTTTAGGTGTCACCTTAAAGAACCAAAACCAGGAACTTCTAGGCTTCACTCAAGGCATGTTGCTGCCAGTTGGATGGAGATGATGTGAAAACCTGTGGAATTTCCTAGTTCAGGAAGTTTCTGCCTCGTGGTGGAGACAGATCTAGTCTTTATAAAAAGGAAATATGCTGGTTCTCACTGTCTTTACATTTTGCTGTAGAAGCAAATTTGAATGCAGACCTTTTTTTGACTCTTGTTAGTTTGCACCGTGCAAAGTGGACATTTTTTTCTTGAAATAGGTGAGTTTGCTGAAGGCAGAATTCAGAGTGGTAAGAAGCAAAGAAAGGAGCTTGCTCGTTCTGTCCTTTAAATTTGCTCTGGATTGTTGAAAGGAACTCATGGAAGGAATATACACAGTTACATAAACCAGCATTTAATTCTGGGCTGTTTCAAACCTTCAAACTCTTTAATACAACCAGTTGTGAAACAGGACATTGTTGACAAGATAACAAGAAAAATAGTAAATGACAATTAGCACTGGCTCTCACTGAAGGGTAAAGGGTGATCTTTTTAAATTCTCTCCTGCTGAGTATCCGTGGATTTTTCCTGAATATCTGACAAATATTTTTAGTTTCATGCACAGCTTGTTTTGAGGGGCTTCTGTAATAACTCACTGGCTTGAAATCACCGAGCACCACAGATAACACCGTGTGAGAATGATTGCCAGCCTTCCTTCCCTGCTATAAACGAGGCAAATCTGAAAGAAAATAAATGTTTGTTCTGTCCCAGCAATTGCAGGAATGCAGTGAGGATGAAGAGGATCGGGAATGCCTGAAACAAGCCATCACTGCCCTCCTGAACCTGCAGTGCAGCATGGAGCGCATTTACAGCAAACACTCCCCGAGGCGGCGGCCTGGGTGAGCACAGACACACCCTGCCTCCCCAGAAGGGGCAGGGAAGGAGATAAATCATCTTTCCTTGTCAGGAAATCTATATATTCCCATTTCCAGGCATGTCTTTCTGACAGTTTTCGTTGTAAATGGAGCAGCAGCCCAGAACCTTCACGCCCCACTTCTAAGAGAATAATGTGGATATCTTACTCCCTTCCCCAACCAAAGCAGTGCTTGTGGCTTATTTGGAACTTAGGGCATATTTAGGGGAAAAAATAATGTATAGGCAGTTAATTTAGCTGATTATTTTGGTCTCTTGGGATGGCAGACATGGAATGTGCCCGTTGTGACCTTTTCTGTTCTTCTCTCAAGGGAGCCGGTCTGTCGCTTCTACCACCGACAGATAAGGAGCAAACACTTGGCCATCAAGAAAATGAATGAGATCCAGAAAAACATTGATGGCTGGGAAGGCAAAGACATTGGGCAGTGCTGCAATGAGTTCATCATGGAAGGGGGCCTGACCAAAATAGGAGCCAAACACGAGCGGCACATCTTCCTCTTCGACGGTTTGATGATCAGCTGCAAAACCAACCACGGGCAGTCGCGGCTCCCCGGCTACAGCAGCGCCGAGTACAGGCTGAAGGAGAAGATCATCATGAGGAAAATCCAGGTGATTGACAAAGAGGACACCCCTGAATACAAACATGCCTTTGAGCTGGTGTCCAAGGATGACAACAGCGTCCTGTTCGCTGCCAAGTCCGCCGAGGAGAAGAGCAACTGGATGGCGGCGCTGATCTCGCTGCAGTACCGCAGCACCCTGGACAGGATGCTGGACTCAGTCCTGCTGCAGGAGGAGAACGAGCAGCCCCTGAGGCTGCCCAGCCCAAACGTTTATCGTTTCGTCGTGGAGGACTCTGAGGAGAACATTGTGTTTGAGGACAACCTGCAGAGCAGGAATGGCATTCCCATCATCAAGGGAGGGACGGTGGTGAAGCTCATCGAGAGGCTGACGTACCACATGTATGCAGGTATCCTAGATATGTTTTTTAAGCTCATGCTTCTATGGGGAATGAAATTAATCTGTTATCTTTAGCTGGGTTTTTCTGCATGTAATTAAATGTAAAGTAAGATTTGCAGGGGGAAAAAAAATCTATTGGTAAATGGCCCGGCATTGCTGGCAAAGCCATAAGAAAATTTTGGGTGTGCAAACCCTTTACCCCCAAAAAACTCCCACAACAGTGTGTTTCCTGAGATCATTGTTGCTAAAGCAGTGGAGCTGTTACAGGCTGTGTGTCTGTGGAGGGAGAAAAAAGTTGGAAGTTATGTTTATTTTATTTATTATCCTCACCCTGCCGCTCTGGGAAGTCCCTGTGTTGAAGAGGATGCAAAGCACAACCAGCATTTTGCAGACTTTGCTGTGAAATACTGTCTTAAAGGCACAGAAATGAAACCTTGAAGTAGTTGCATGAAGTGCTGATGTTGAGGAAAACGTTAGGTCTCAGTTTTGGGGTGAAAGGCACAGGCTGAAAGGGGAAGCTGTACAATTTTTGTTAATTGCAAATAATAACAGTCTCCTTTGTGCTTTTTACAAAACTGACCAGTTTTTAAGTGATTGTTTTTGTGAAGTTAAGATTACATATTGTGAAACTATAATAATTTTTTTTAAATAGCATTTAAAGCTCAGTATTGAGCAGCTGCTCAGTGTGCAAGTTACCCTCAGCTGTGTTGTCTGTGTGTCCCAGCTCATCCAGTCCTAAAATGTGATGGATTTTGATGGCTTGTGCTCTTATCACCTTTCCTGAATAAACTGATGTGTTTGAGTATTAGTTTCATGGAATTCCAGATTGGTTTGGGTTGGAAGGGACTTTAAAGACCATCTTGCCCTACCCCCCTGCCTTGGGCAGATTTAGATATTTTTGGTGTTAGAGGAGATTTTTCTGCACGTTAAAATTTTCTCTGTGTATTTTATTTCCGATATTTTCCAATTGGATTAAAAAAGAAAAACAAACCCAAAACGCTCCCATCATTTTCTTCTTCTGTCCTTACAGATCCCAATTTCGTACGGACTTTCCTCACCACCTACCGCTCCTTTTGCAAGCCCCAGGAGCTGCTGAGTTTGCTGATAGAAAGGTAAGGAATGGTCATACTTCCTGAAGTTATGGAGAGGTTTTAGAATCACAGAATAGAATCCCAGAATGGTTTGGGTTGGAAAGGACCTTAAAGCCCAGCTCATTCCACCCCCTGCCACGGGCAGGGACACCTTCCACTCTCCCAGGTTGCTCCAAGCCCCATCCAAGCTGGTTTTGGACACTTCCAGGGATCCAGAGGCAGCCACAGCTTCTCTGGGCAACCTGTGCCAGGGCCTCCCCACCCTCCCAGCCAACAATTCCTTCCCAATATCCCATCTAAACCTACTCTTTGTTAATAGGAAGCCATTCCCCCTTGTCCTGTCACTGCAGTTCCTGATGAGTTTTGTGTGTTTGGAATCATAAACATCCCAAGTTGGAAGGGACCCACAGGGATCAGAGAGTCCAGCTGCTCCTTCCCTGCTCAGGTTCCCAGCGTCATGTTTCACGTGTTTTAGTGAAGTTTGTAAAACAGTAACTTCTAAAACAGTGATCCAAGTTTTTAAGGCAACCTTCCTTCTCCTAGTTTAAATGAGTTACCTGAACTGGGTATTACCTGGAACACAGCCTGGGCTGTGGGGTGGTGATGTTGTGAACTGCTAAACTTCCAGGTCTCGATGCAAATAAAGACAGAAATGTCCTGAGCGGTTTGTTTGAGCACACAGACTTAATGTAAACAGCATTTTAATGCAGTGTGATAAAGCTGCTCTTAAGCTCTCGTCTAATCTTCCCTTAATCAAGCTAACAGGCCCTTAAAAACCTTATATCCCAGTCTAGACATCTTGTGATGAGCAGAGAACCAGTGAATTAGCCGGGCGTGGACCTCGGGGAGGAGGGAATTCCAGGCGAACTGGATGTCACAGGAGTGCTTGAGTCTCACCACACTGAATTTATTTGAACTACAATTGCTCCCCATGACCTCCATAAAGGCTTTGTGTCTGATCTTAACTGCCATCAGTTCTCTGGTGCTCTCCTGCCTAGGTTTGAGATCCCGGAGCCGGAGCCCACGGAAGCGGACAGGCTGGCCATCGAGAAGGGGGAGCAGCCCATCAGCGCCGACCTGAAGCGCTTCCGCAAGGAATACGTCCAGCCAGTGCAGCTCAGGTTGATTTGCTTTCCAGTTTGTTACAGCCAGACTCGAGTTCCCTGATTACATGGTGTTCCTGGAGACACTAATCTCCCCTGGAGACTGCAGGGACTTATCCGTGTCTGCGAGCAGCCCGGTATCCCAGATCATGCTCTCATTAGTCACACCGACTCCTGGAGCTGTTGGAGCTGCACTTTGGTTCCCAGAGCTGTGATCCCCACCCACAGACACTGCGTGGCTGCTGTGGACAGCGGGTGTGGGTGAGGGATGTGTAGCTGAGAGCGGTTCTGAATGGGCTCCTTGTTCCCAGGCCCTGTGAAGATCATTCCTCTGTTTCCAGTTTTCCAGCCCTGCTGGTGTTTTGCTCCCTTTCCCAGCCCCGTGGATGTGTTTGCACACAGACAGGGAGACTCTTGTCTGTGCTGCAACATTGCAGTGGCTGCAGTGAATCTTCAAGGTCTTGCTGACCAAGCTAATTTGGGGAACAATTAAGCATTTCTAGCATGAATGAGGCTAATTGTTCCCCTGATTGAGGATTGAGTCAGGAGGAGACGGATCACAACCAGAGTTTGCTAGAACAACTTTTAACTGTTTTGATGAGTAGCATCAAGAGATTACCATTAATGGCACATCAATTTTACTATTAATGTAACTATTAGTGGCACCCTCAGATATTCTTCTGGCACACATTCCTAGTTTACTTGTTGGAGCAACAGCAGTTGACTCAAAGTGAAGGGTAACACTGACATGCCAGTACCTTGAGCATGTTGAGAAAGTCACTTAGAGGTCCCCTTTCCATCAGATACCCGTGTGCATATATATATAAAGGATTAAAAAGATAAGGATGTGTGTAATACAGGAGTTTTCCTCCACATGTAGCAGCCACCACCTTCTTGAACGTGCTCCAAGTTATACAACCTCAGCGTAACCTTGATACTCGTGTGCTCCTGGCCTTGGGCTGCTTATCAGGCCCTTGGTGTTCCCAGTTTATCAGCTCCTGTGGGTTCAGCAGGACCAGTAGTCTCCACAGTTATCAGTTCTTGGGAGAGCTGCCTCTCAGCTCGTGCTTTGCTGTTTTCTGGGAGCTCTTTCCGATCCCTGTGATGTGTTTTTCAGTAGCTTGGAACTGTCTTGGAGCTGAAAATAAGTGTCTGGGTTTGAGCTGTTGATTCCAGCGTTGTTAATAGCATTGACCTCTACTTCAGAGAGATCTGGGATTTGGGAACGAGGTGGAGAACAGGGAGATGCTCATCCCTCCCTCCCTGCCCAGCACTCCCCATCTCATAGGAGACACTGTGCAGTGCCCAGGCATGGAAAGGGCAGTGGCTTTGGCATAAAAGCATGTGAGGTCATGAGGAGGAGGAGTTGCTAAGCTGGAAGTGCAGTCAGCAGATCCAAGCAATCTCTCTTGCTTTTCCAGTGCTTTTTACCATTGGATCTCAAAGGCAGAGATGGATTAGATAAGATCCTGTTTTACTTTTAGTGGCTACTTGCGTCAAAACTTGGCTGCTTAGAAGGTGGTGTTGATTTCCAGCCTGAATGATCCCTTTGGGCAGCAGTTCTTTTATGGGATAAACCTTATTTTTTCCCTTACACCCTGGGAAGAGGAGAGCTAAGGAACTCCTCCGTGTGTTCACACGGATGTAATTCATTTGTCTGAGCTAAGCCAGCCCCTCTCCAGAGCTGTGACTCACAGATTGCAATCAGGTCTCTGCCCTGTCCCTCTCAGATCTTCTTGCCACCAATTTAAAGGGCTGAGCCACCAAACCCAGTATCCTCATACCCAATTAGCACTGTTTTCCCAGTGGAAAACTCCCAGTTCAGCAGCACAGGGCTGGAGTAACCACATCTCCCTGGAACCATCTCCCCTGAGCCCGAGGCCGTGGGTTCTCCATCAGCCCCATCATCCTGTTGAGTTGGCACAAGGAATATCTCTTGTCCTGGGTGATGTAGGAGATTTTTGCTCACTCTTCAGGTAAGGTCATGCATTGCACTTTGATAAATCAAATGTTTGAGGTGCGAGCTCAACTTGTTTACCTGAGGAAGAGGCAAACCAGTTTTCTGTTCTGATTTATCCTGAGTGTAGAAGGCAGAGGAGCAGTTGGAGTTCACTTTGAGAGGCTGGTTTATTACTGATTTGTTTAAGAAAGGGTAGGGAAAAATCAAGAGGGAGTTTAGTGTTATCCTTAAAGGAAGTATTGGATCTAGTATGGCTTTTTTGTGTCATTAAAAAGTTGTAAGAGAAGGGCAGTAACAACAACTGCAGCAACTTTGAAGCTGAAATTTGTGTGTAGGAAAGAGACCATTACAATTTTGTTTCTTACCAAATGGGAAATCTTAATTAGCTTTTTTATTAAAAAAAAAAAGACATTAGAAATGGCATTTTTTGTATTAGATTTTTTAAAAACCACCAAAATATATATATGCTAAAACTGGGAAATTAGGTCTTAAATACCAGAGATTTCTGTGGTCATGGGTACCTTGCTCAGTTTTTGTTCTGTTCCTTTGTCCACATATATTTTGATAGTTACCAACTACATGAATCTGTAACTCAGTTTTTTGTAGGATTATGTTTTATTTGGTGTTTCTGTGGGATAAGCCTTGAAAGTCCTTAAAAAGAAACTTTATTTTTTCTCCTTCCTCAGAATATTGAATGTTTTTCGTCACTGGGTCGAGCACCATTTTTACGACTTTGAGAGAGATTTGGAGTTGCTGGAGAGGCTGGAGACCTTCATTTCCAGTGTCAGAGGTACAGGAGCAGGGTCCTGTTCTCATTCCACAATTTGGGACAATCTGGTTGATCCTGATGGGTTTTAGGCATGAGAATGTCTTTACACACATGAGTAATTTTAATGCCTTTAATTGAGCTGTTTATGAGACTCTCCTTCACATGAGCAAGCTTTGGCCTGGAGCCTGAACAGCCACCAAAAATGACTTCAAGCATTAGGATAATAATACTTCAAGTATATTTACTTCTGGACAGTATGTTCATCTTTGCCTGACTCTGTGATTCAGGCTGTCACCTTCCCTTTCTCCATAGAGAATTCCTTCCCTGTTGCTTACTGAGATTAGATTTTCCATCTTGTTCTTTTCCCATTTATCTAAGTTTCCAGTGAAAATCATTATCCTTTCAGAAGAGGATACCTGACCCTTTTGGTATCACTTCCTTCCAAACTAGATTTTTTTTTTTTTATGTGTTGGCATGTCGATTTTTAATAATTCTCCTGGCAATTCCAGATTTTCCTTTTCAGCTTGCCAGGCCTTACACTGGGCAATATCATTCTGAGACAAATAAGTAAAAGACAGTGGATACAGGTCACTTCTTTACATGCCAAAACTGTCAGAGGATGTGGTTAAGTACACCTGGGCAGCACCTGGGTTCACATGTGTCTGTCTGCCAGCTGATAGAGGTGCAAGAACCCGTAAGAAGAGAATAGAGAACCACAAACCTAATTAATTTGCATGCAGAAACGCAGAATTTTGAGTGTATATTCAAATTTTTGGGGGGTTGGTTTCACTAAATTATCAAAAGTCATTTAAAATCATAGAATCCCAGAATGGTTTGGGTTAGGAGGGACCTTAAGGACCATGTTGTTTCAACCCCCTGCCATTTGCAGGGACACCTTCCACTATCCCACGTTGCTCCAACCTGGCCTTGGACACTTGAGGGATCCAGGGGCAGCCACAGCTTTTCTGGGCAGCCTGTGCCAGGGCCTCGCTACCCTCACAACCAGGAATTCCTTCCCAATATCCCACCTAACCCTGCCCTCTGTCAGTTTAAAACCTAAGACGGTATCAAAAAAGCTGTGGGTTTGTTGTTTTTTGTGAGTTTTTTAATGGTTTCTGCTTTACAGGCAAATCCATGAAGAAGTGGGTGGAATCCATTGCTAAGATCATCAGGAGGAAGAAAGCCCAGGCCAATGGGATCAGCCACAACATCACCTTCGAGAGCCCTCCCCCCCCCATCGAGTGGCACCTCTGGCGCGTGGGGCACAGCGAGAGCCTGGACCTCATGACCCTGCACCCCATAGAGATCGCTCGGCAGCTCACCCTGCTTGAGTCTGACCTGTACAGGTGGGGCTGAGCTCAAACACACCCCCTTTTAGACTTTTTTTAGTTTATTTCTTAGATTATTATCGAGCAAGAAAGAGTTCACAGAATCGGTCAAAAATACGACGACCCCCCCGCGACTTCCAGAGTTCACGGGAAGGGATTTCCTTGCCATCTGTTCAATATCAAAATATACAAGGGAATTAAAAAGGGGTTTATCTCATATCAGACAACATAAATAAGTGCAAGGAGGACAATCCATGGGTCTTAGAACTCCAAAGTGAAGCATCCATTCCTGCTTCAGTGACAGCGGGTTTTCTACTAAAACAAGCCACTTTTCCAGCAGGTTGCTCCCAAGTGCTTCAGCTTCCCGTTTTCCATTTGTAGCTCTTCTTAAGTTGCTTTCCTGCCCTTTCAGAAAATTAAACTCGCCCCTTTGCAGTTTTCTTATCTGAAAATGCTTATTCAAACCCACCCGATTTCAATTAAGATAAAAACGGGTTTCCCTCTGTGCTCGAATGCTCGTCAAAAAGTTGTTTCAAGTGCTGTTTTGCAGCAGATTGGATTTGTGAAAATACCAGGTCGTGGTTAAGGGAAGAAATAACCTTTGAATGCAAACACAAAAATTACAAATTATTATTTGTACTGAGCATTCTGTGTGTTTTGTCACTCCCAGGGCAGTGCAGCCTTCGGAACTGGTTGGCAGCGTGTGGACTAAGGAAGATAAGGAAATTAACTCCCCAAATCTCTTGAAAATGATTCGTCACACCACAAATCTCACTCTTTGGTTTGAGAAGTAAGTACAGGGCTGGCAGTGGAATGGCATTAACCACTTTTACCCTGGGACTTGCTTGGGGTTTGCTGTTTTATCTTACAGGCCCTGCCAAAAACCCTCTCTTGGCTTTCCAACTCGGAACATATGTAAGATGTAATTACCTAAATTTGTACTTGAGATTCTGGAAGGAGAGCCAAAATCTGCATGCTATGTGGTTTTTCTTGGAAAAAAAAATTGATTTAGTAGCTTGCAAAATGTCAGGTTTTATCTCTCAGTGTTTCTCAAATTCCATTTTTTGATCAGGTGCATCGTGGAGACGGAGAACTTTGAGGAGAGAGTGGCTGTGCTGAGCAGGATCATAGAAATCCTGCAGGTTTTTCAGGATCTGAACAATTTCAACGGTGTTCTGGAGATTGTCAGTGCCATGAACTCTGTGTCAGTGTACAGGCTGGATCACACCTTTGAGGTAAGGTTTGGGCACGGAAAAAGAAATTAAATCAGCATCCAGGCCTGTATCCACACACAGTTGTGAAGGGAAATCCGTGGTTTCATGGAGGAAAACAAGTGTGAAATGTTGTCAGCAAAGCCTCCCTTCAGTAAAAAAGAAAAAGAAGAAAAAAAATAAAATATTTTGAGTTCTGTGTGTCTTTGAAAGGCAGCATTTTAAGTTAAAATCAGATGTGTAATTTTTATTAAAAGACCAGGATTTTGCTTATTCACTGATAGACAAAATAATCTTCTGTTTATAGTAGTCTCAGGATTCACATGACTGAATTGTTAGGCTGGGAGTGCTGTAATCCAGAGCAAATATTTACAAGAAGTGCTTTCAGATCTGAATTTCAGCTCCCAAGTTTTGCTGAGACAGCCAGGGAATTGCCTTGTATTTGCTGATCACGGTATTGAGAAGATTTCCATCCCTGTTTTTTTCCTTTGGCAACTTAGGCACTACAGGAAAGGAAGAAAAGAGTCTTGGATGAAGCAGTAGAATTAAGCCAAGATCATTTTAAGAAGTATTTAGCTAAGCTCAAGTCAATCAACCCACCCTGTGTGCCTTTCTTTGGTAAGTCACACCAATATTTTGTGGTGTCAGTCCAAACTTGACTTTGCTGCAGGTGTGTAGTTAAAAACTCCCTTCTGTTTTTATCAGGAATATACCTGACAAATATCCTGAAGACAGAAGAAGGGAATCCTGACTTCCTTAAAAGACAAGGGAAAGAATTAATTAACTTCAGCAAGAGGAGAAAAGTGGCTGAAATTACAGGAGAAATCCAGCAGTACCAAAACCAGCCTTATTGTTTACGGATAGAGCCAGAAATCCGGGTAATCAACCATTAAATACCTGTTTGGGGATTGGAGAGGGGGAAAAAGGCACACCACAAAAAGTGCCAAATAATCTTCTAATACTGGACCTAATTTTGCATGAATTGTGACCATCAGAAGAGGGGGAGAACAGTGGCTGGTGGAAAAGAAAGCACCTCCACTAAGAACTACCCAAAAGTGGTGAAAAAGTAGATTTTAAACCAGTGAGTTACAAAGTATTTAATTAAAATTTCGTGTGTATCCTTATTTTTTAAATCTTATTGGTGCTTGTTTCATTTAGAAATTCTTTGAGAATCTCAATCCCATGGGGAAGATCCCAGAAAAAGAGTTTACAGACTATCTGTTCAACAAGTCCTTAGAGATTGAACCTCGGAACTGCAAGCAGCCACCTCGATTTGTAAGTGTTTTCCTGAAAATTCGTGGAATCACACAATACCCTGAGATGGAAGGGACCCACAAGGATCATCAAGTCCAACTCCTGGATTATTTAATTAAAATTAAATAGCTAAAATCCACTGGTCACCCTGCATGGTTGACTCAATAAGTCATATGTATTTCCTTCAGAATTCCTTATCATGAGATGATTTTCCAGCTAAACTTGATTTACAAATGCTTCTATTCCTGATGCTTGTCTCTGTTAAAACATACAACCTTTGGCTTATTTTAAAATTAGCATTTTTCCCCCCAGAACCTGAAATATTGCTGTTATATTTGTATGTCTTACCATATAGTCATATGATAAAATGTGGAGCAACATTTCTCATTTCACAATATCGAGAAGTCTTATATTAATACTAACTGAAATAAGACTTTTACACATAATGTGTTCAGTTTTCTTTAAATAGAAGGTAATTTCTGTTTTTCTTTTGTCAAAATATTTGGTGTTGTTGCAAAATTTGCACAACTTGACCAGGTGCAACCTTCTTGCTGAAGAAAATACAGTTCAATTCAAAGGAGTAGCAATTTAGGGGGTTAAAAAAAACCCAGCTACTGGAGCCCAGGATTCTTTTTTAAGCAGGAAGATCGTGGTCTAGAGCACTTGTTTTTTATATGTTGTAATTGCCTGAGGAGCTGGAGACATCTCTGATTTTTGGGAGAGCTATAAATCAGTTTTGAAATCTCCTGTTGGAGGAATGAGTGAGACAATATTACAAACGTGGCAAGAAAACGCCAGAAATCGCTGTTGCAAAAATGCTGTTACAGTAATTTCTGTGAAAGATTTTCTAAAAATAGGAGTCCACCCTGCCAGTCTGTCAGCTGGGCAGGAATTCTTTTATAGCTCACCATTTCCAAAGAGAGAATCTTATTGGAATTTCAGGAAAGTCCAGTTCTGGGTGCTGTAATTTGGACACCCCTGCAGGGTGGGAGCATAATTCACCTTCCAAGGCTCAGCTTTGATCTGGGCTGTTACACCTGAGCCTAACAAGGCTGGGTTTGTCCACCCAGTGACCTGGGTGTAGGAATTTTGTCCTTACTAACCCAGAGGATGTGGACAACATGTGTCCAGGTGTGTCCCTGATCCTGGATGTGTGTAGGGTCCTGGTGACCTGTGGATAAGCACAGAGTGTGTCTGTGGTGCTGCTCTGTGGCTTGAAGTAACTTTGTCTTTCCCAAGGTTGTGACTTGATTTTCCCTGTGTTTTGTCCTGCTTGGCATCAGAAACTGCACTCTTCAGTCTTCATAGTTGTGGAAAAAAACCCTAAAATTAAGCTGGGAAAAAAAGATTTATTAAGTTGCACCCATAACATCCCAGTAAACTCCTGCTGTATAAATAACACTGTACCTCACAACAGTTGTCCCTGTACAGCTCCTTAAGGTGTATTTGATAAATACTGTTAAAAATATCTCCCAGAGCCTTGGAAATGTTGCTGTCTGGAATGTCAGCAGTGCTAACAGCTTCACTGTCTGCAGCCTAGGAAAACAACCTACCCCCTGAAATCCCCCGGGATAAGGCCCAACACGGGCAGACACGGCTCCACCTCTGGCACCTTGAGGAGTCATCCACTGCCACTCGAAAAGGAGCCCAGCAAGATAAGCTTCAGTAGGATCACTGAGGCAGAACATGAATCCGCAGTTTCGGCACCCACCTCTCCCAACACCCCGTCTACGCCACCGGTGTCGGCGACTTCGGAGTTCAGTGTGTTCTCAGACATAGATCTCAACAGTTCTTACGGTAAATACGTTCTAAGAATCGTTGTTGCTGTCCCTCAGGCTCCCCAGATTTATTCCTTTAAAACAAAAAAGTTGCAAAATTCAGAGTAGTGAAGTTAATTCCCACCGTAACTGAAAATCGGTAGTTCGGGAACGTTTTACGCAGGAAATTTTAATTCACTTTGGCAGGAGATAAACTTGGAGATTTTCGTGATCTCTGAGGTCACTGAAGCATTCTTTACGTGCAGATGTTCTGTCTGGAAGGTCTTTAATCCATTTTTTTTCCCCCCACAGGTAACAACAGCATCTTCGCTCCCGTGAGTTTGCCTCAGTCGAGTGAGTAGTGGAACTCTGTTAAATATTTAACTCTGCCTCTCCTGGGTTCAGGAAAGCTGAATGGGAATGAAAATCTGAAATCTGGGATGAAAATGTGGGCTGCATTCAGTGGGGTTCTTTGTAGGTCAGATGTCCAGTGAGGAATGTAAAGTCTAGAAACT